AAACGGATGCGCAACCACCCAATGTTTTATGTGGGATGCGCAAGCCGTATCAATATCCGACGCAAGTAAACGCGAAAGCGTTGGCGCCAGAGCGGCGCCAACAGGCGCTTGATCACGAAGAAGCTGGTCCAGTAGCAGGTTTTGAGCACGGAGTGCAACAATTTCCATCTTAAACGGCGCCAGACGGTCCACCGTCGCACGAAGCGACGCATTTGTCTGCTTGACGGCTAGGGGCTACTCTGACAGGGCGGGGTTGTCTTCAGCATAAAGCAGTCGGTGCACAAAGTGCTCCGAGCTCTCTAGGTCTTCCGCATAGCGGTATGCGACTCAGCATGATGCTCAGCGGAGTTTTGATCGCGACAAATCTTGTCCTCAAAAGGCTGAAGAGCATAGCGAGTCAACGGGCTGTGGACGAAGACAACTTGGTCGATCGCGCCCACTCTTTTTGATGAGAATGGTGGCGTTCACTACCATGTGGAATGCCTTGTGGGTCGAGATTGCCTGCGGGGTTAAACCCAATATCTTGTAAAGTGGTGGGGATACAAACTCTGAGATCTCGTGGGAGTTTGAGGTGCCATTTCGGCAAGACCGCCCAGACGTCGTGGTAGCTTATGACCAGAAGAATCATGATGCTTCGCGTCGTCGTGCGCACTGCGCATCTTGGCAGTAGCTCAGAAAGCCTGAGGGCCATAATCTGCGCTCAAGCTATGACCCTGATCTGCTGTGGTCATAGACTCACCCGTGTGAGCAGCCACAGAGTCCGCTGGAGCGTGATGGGTGAGTCCATGTGTCGCAGAGCGCCAATACGCAGGAAAACGGCGTTGCGCCTTGAGGTTGGCAAACTTAAATCTAAGATGGCGCTCAACACGCACGTCCACTTTCTTGTGGCTTCGCTGTAAGGTAAGCACGAGAAAAGTTTTCGGTGCCGCTGCACTCATCGCTCGAAGGGCTCGTCGTCGTCTGCAGCGGTTTCGCCAGGGACGAGCACTACAGAAATCATACCTATTGCGGGACAGGAGCGCCTTCTTTCAAAGCGCGAAGTCGAGTATGGTACGTATCCAGCGGAGCCAAGAAGCGAGCTCGCAGATCTTTTCGTTCGTCAAGCTCAGCTTGTGTAGCGGCCGGAGGCCCGACCACGAAGACGCACAACGATCAAGTGATCGCGTCCTTCGCTTCTGTAGCGGGATAGCCGAAGTGGAAGTCGGATTACATTTGAGGGCTAGGACCGACCGTAGATGTGCGCGTGTAGCCGCCCTGCGGGCAACATCCAACTGCTGTCTCTGTGCCTCGTCGAGGCAATTGGAAGCGTCACCGCTTTTCCCGAAAGTCGAGAGGTCGGGATACGGACACGGTATCCGCAGAGTTGGAGCAAGGCTCACATCGCGCCGCTGACGCACCTCGCCCTCTTCTTCTTCCCATCCTGAGAATGGAGTTTCCGACTCGTAGTCGACTTCCTCCAAATCCTCGACGAGGTAGCCTCGCCCGTGGCGGGCGTGGTGCGCGGTGCTCGATTGCCGAGCGATTGGGATGTGCTTTTCTTGACGCCGCAAACGTGCTGTCTAGGGTTGGACCGCGAGCAGGAGACGAAGAAGGCTCTGCCCGCGGGCGCTCTCGAGACCAGCGAGACTGGGTGTCATTTGTGTCCTAGACACAGGGCTCAATGAGCAGAGAATGCGTGCAAAAGGTCCTGGGGATGTAGATTCGCGAGGCTCGTAGGGGGCGACACTTAAACGTGAAGTGTGGGTGTTCACAATTTTTGATGGTGGAGAATGTAACGGGGTTATACGCTCCCTGGTATGAAGGGTTGGGTCACAAAAAGATAGCGTGACCATACGAGAGTGTTGGCTAGAAAAGACGGCGTAATCACACAGTGATGTCGCTACACCTTAACAAGAAGGCAGTACGTGGCTGTACTGCCAGTAGTTATGCATTTTAATTAGGGATTTGATTAGAGAAATCTATAGATTTAGATACAGGCGTGGGTTAAGTTTGTGGTCAGTCTCGGAGTAAGCGGATTGCGACCCGCTACACTCGAAATGATTTTAAGTATAGAACGAATGTCACCGACCTTTCTCTAAGCAAAATGAGCTACGGCACCCCTATCTTATGATAAGGACTAATTTCATGCATGTTGTGATGAGCTCCTATTTATTTTGACATCTATCAACATGCTGATGTAAGGCGATCAGGAGTATGATATATACTTACAGGACATCATGGCTGTGACTGGCATTTAACGAAGTTTATGATTTGATTCATGTTTCTTGACCACACATAATTCCACTTTCATTTGTAATAACGCGGCGAAAATAAGTCGCGCGTTAGCGTCCCGTTGTCTCAAGCCGTCAAGGTGACCTTTGACGAGACTATTCTGTTACTCATGAAATAACCAGTTCGGGATGAAACATAAGGGGCATCGTACATGCCTGTCATGCGTCGGGGGTTGGCCGTCTACACCATAACGCCTGATAAAGGTCCAAGCAACACGACTGCACCCTTAATATAAGGTCCTGTAGCACGGGTCAACCTTTTTGCGCCAGCGAAATATTCGTGTGAAGACATTGTTCTAAACAGCATGGTATTGAGAGTCATCTCAGCGCAATAGGCATTTTTGCTGACGTCGAGCGAGATTGTGGTGCATTTTAAGTTTGAGTTACTTTGTAGCGCGTCAGAAAGAATAATGGTTTTGCCGGGGTCATTGTGAGCTGCAAAACTGTACTTTTCGAAAAGTTGACAGCCAGCACACCATGTCCTATATCAAATGAAGTTTTCTTACGGAGGTGGTTTAAACAACGCTTGGTCCATGCAATCTTTGCAACCCTGTCGCCCCTTTAAGCGCAATCTGACTTTTATCATATAAACTGCATTGCAAGCAGCTTCTTGTCGTGAACTAAGCAAGTTTGCATAGCCTATCACGGTAAGTAGCTCACACAATCATAATGACCAAAATGCGTAAGATCAACGCCTGGCGGCAGACGCACTAGCGTTGCACACCATTTAAAAACATCATTGATTGTCTCGCAGAATCGAGGCCTTCAAAACGCTTACTCACAAGTCATATAAAGCGCTCTAATGTAATGCGCTCTATTCTTATATAGCGTCTATTAGCTGATAGGAAAATAGATGGGATTAGGTTGATCCTTGTCGTAGCTGTGTTATCTCCTTATACAGAAGATCTAATCTGAACTCGCTAGCACACGAGAACCGAAATCGCGCGAGCGTCCCTGTGCAGACATCTACCCTTGAAAGAATCAGATGCTGACAGCAAAATTTTCAGCATCATTAATCTGGCAAATGACATCTGATAAGGGTTTATGCAAGAAATTACCGTTTGTTGACAGCGGTCATCTCTTGAAGTGGAAAATTTGAGCGTGGCGCGCTACCTTCACATATATAGGATCATACCACGCAAACTCAACATCAGGTCTCGTTTCAGTCGCGATTAGGGTGCCCACAGCGCACTTTATCCTCATTTATGCTTTCGTGTCCGCGCACATACAATACTAGCTCTACTTGAATTCTATAGTCGGCTTTTCAGCAAAAGTGCTGTATTCGAACGTAGTGAGGTACATGTCAGATCTTGGTCCGACCTTTTGGTAACTCGACGATGGCGACGACTTAGTTATGCCACTGTAGCCATCGGCGCGTGACGCGTATTTTGTGTCGAACACGAAATCGAAATCATGTGACCCATTTAAATTAATTGGGAGCTCATACTGTGCTATCTTATCCTTCCACAAAACGTCAACTCCTGGATGGGTCGCATTAAGTATATTGTCTCAACATGACCTTGCAGGACGGTTTTCTAAATCAACAATAGATCAACAACGCGTCGCGAGCAGGTGTCATGGCTCCGATTCTCCGAAAACGACATATAAATAATGATGTCTTCCAAGACTAAAAACACCTCCGTGTTGCTATCATGTGCTCGAAGTCACGTGGAATCTATAATGTTTAGCATGACTAAAACTTCTTTCAGCGCTGTGTGTATGACTGGGAATCAACATCGCAAGTAAATTTTTGGCCTGATTTGAGGTTTTCCTATGTCAGCCTGGATCTTTTCGACCTGATTTTGTGTACTCTGCATGAAATGAATTTAGTAATGCAACACTCGTAATTTGGTGCCGCCAGTTGCCAGCACTTCACATCATCAATTTGAATGATTCCCCTCGTCGGTAGAAAATTGGCTCAGAATGACATAATTCGCCCTATCTGGCACTTCATGGCATCCCAATCGAACATCTTCGTTAAAATGAAAGAAATGGCAATTTTGTCACTCGCTGACTAACTCTTCTTCGATAGATATCTTGCAATACCGTCAGGTGCAGCTATCACTGCGGGTATATGGATTTCGTTTCAACTTTGTCTAGGGTTTATCAGAGACAGAGACTATATTAACTACTTATTTTCAGTTTATAAGAGAAATAAACATGCTTATCAACTGACTATTTTATGAAACCTGAAAGAAGACATGGCACACTTCTCTCAGCACCGCCTCTTATGAGAGGACGTTTTTTGCAAGTTGTTACTGTGTGAGAAAGTCGAGAGGGTTGAAATGAGCGTCAGAATCCATTGCTTCTCCTCAAGCGACATTTGTAATTTCTAAAGTCTTATCGTAATCGTGTCGTCGAATGCTTGTTAAACGATCCACTAAATTTTCTGCAGAATCAGATGCTCCGGACAAAGAAGAATCATGCAGAAGTCCGATGTGTAACAAAACTTGAGATTTCACTATGAATCAGCACACCATGACAGCAAATTATTTGAGAGAATTACTTAATTGATTATATTGTATCCGTATACACAGGGGCTCATAACTTAAACATTGATCTCGATGCGTTACCCAGGCAAGAGTAAATTACACGCCAGAACTCATCTATTCTCTATCGAATTCTTACCGACAACGCCTGATGCCACTTTACTTAATTTCGAGCACTTGAAGTTTCTATACTTTAAAAAAAGTTGTCATTGGTCCCATCAGTCACTGGGACCGCTTTCATTTAGCCAAAAAAGCCGAATCTGTCCGGTGCAAATTTGCTGATCTCCAACTGAGGTTGAAAGCCACTGATTTCATCAGCAAGAATTGCCCCTGCCCCAAATGATAGAGTCCAACCCTTGGAGCCATGCCCTGCATTCACGTACAGATTCCGAATCTTGGTACGACCTACAAGCGGCACTCCATCTGCTGTTCCTGGACGCCAACAAGTGTGCGATTGCATCTTTGCCACGTCCAAATACCCATCTGGGAACACAAGCTTGGCTTGAGCTAGCAGCCAATCGTGCCGCTTTTTCTCCTCCCGCGGTGATTCTTGATCCGTCTTTTTCTGACTCACAAAATCCACACCTCCCGAAATACGCACTAATGATTTGCCCAAAGGTGCGATGAGGACCTGGCCACCCGCAAAAATATTGTGAATTGGCGCTCGAAAACCAGAAGCAACTGGTACGGAGAGCACATAACCTTTAACTGGATATATATCTAATTTGACGCCTGCTCGTTTGGCCACTAAAGCAGTCGAATTGCCAAGTGCCAACACAAACTCGTCCCCTTCAATCAGAGACCCCCTCCTTGTCTGCAACGCAATGATAGACGCCTTGTCGGTCAAAATATGTTGCACATCCGTATTGAATCGAAACATCACACCTTGTCGCATGCAAAGACGATAAAGGGATTGACACATTTTATGTACATCTCCACTTGTGCCAAAAGCTGACAAAATAGCTCCTGGATCAAATACTTCAGATCGCATTGCAGGTTCCAAGTTGCGAGCTTGCACGGCATGAAGCGGCTGCAAATCCATACCCAATTCCGACAAATGGGCACTACGATCGCTTTCCATTGTCATCTCCAACTCGCTGGGATGCTTGAAAATCTCAATAGTGCCTTGCGCTGTTTGATCCATAACGATATCACCTTTTTTAGTATTTACCTGCAGCTCTCGAAGTTTTAACATGCTATAAAACCCAAGTTCGCGAATAGTACGACTATGTTCGTTCGAACGCCCTTTTTTCGAATTGTGCCAAAACTGAAGTCCCCACTTCCAAAATTTTGTGTCCCGCAAAGCCGACATTTCAATTTTGATGGGCTTCTCACGTAATGACTTCTTTGGACGTGCAACACTTGCACCATCTGTAGACAATCGAGAGGCAGCTGCTGCAGCAGGCCCTCCTGTGACAGTGACACTGTTGCCATCTGCCGCCATTGTGGCAGTAGAGGATAACGGTCGAGTCATGGCGTTCCTTCTACCTGGAGCGGTTCCCTTGCGCAAATTTGCCACATCGGACCAACTCGCGTAAAGAGCTGGGTCTAAGAAGGCCCCGTCGCAGAGACTCACTTGTGTGCCTACGCCTCGTTCTTTCTCTACACAAAGAACTTCATGGCCGTGTTTTGACAGATAATAACAAGTTGTCAGCCCGATGATGCCAGCGCCACACACAATCACGCGTTTCGTCTGGCGGCGTTGATTAATGCCTGGTATTGGCTCCATCTTCATATTTTCAGGAAGCAACGGAATGCGCATGGGTGGAGGACGCATGTGGTCAATTGGAGGCAAGCGCTCGCCTTCTAGCGACGCCACTGGTGGCAAATTTCGATGTGCCACACTCACTAAATGATCGCGAAGGTGGGGTGGCAAGTCCAAAGCAGTACTGGTTGCCTCATCTACAGATGACGCGTCCGAGTACCCAGAGGAGCTGATAGAAGCCAGCCGATCTCGTCGTAACCCTTTGCTTTCTCCTAACGGCCTTCGCCTGGCGACCGCCTCCATGTCCATAATAGGATGCAACTCGTCGTTCATGGCGTTATTAGAGCCCATTCGCGGCTTTGATTAAAAACGCACTAACCTTAAAGGCAGAAATGTCGGTCGCGTGATTTAGACTCGTCACCTGCTCCAATAGGTTTCTTTCAAAGGTTGCCACACCAGTGGCCGGGGCCAATTCTCTGCGTTTCTCGCTGCTAGAATTCAGTTGTGCTAGAAAGGTTGCGCGGATATTCGAAAGAAGAAGAAGTGTGATGCGTTTTTGACCAATCCCCGAATTTTTCTTGTGGATGAAGCTTTTCTGTAGTACCACTAAGCGACACTACAAAGCAAAATCACGCCAGCAAGTGGTCGATACGAGAGCCTTTTTGCTCATATTCAGCGGCTGCCACGTTGTCGAGAAGGCAATCGCAAGAAAAAAGCTCATTCTTGAGACACCTAAGCGATGATGCCATGTTCATATTACAGTAAACAGCTGGTATAACTGATATCATGAATCTGTGAGTGAATCATTGTATCAATTACAAGCTATGTACTACATACGAGCTCAGCATTTACTTATGTCGGCACAATGCTGCTTCGTCTTGCTCCATATGCGCACTGCTATGGCACCTGTCTCCTCAAAAACTACACTTGCGAACGCGCGAAAGTTCGTTCAAGCAGTTTGTAATGGTGTCTACAAGGTATAAGGATTCCTAAACATGTAATGAGTACATTCTAAAAATTTGAAGTGAGCCCCTTTCCCCTATGTACGACTATTTTGTGGCCAAATTCGCGATCAAAATGCCTCTGTTAAATGATCTATTTCCAATGTTCCAATAGTTCTTCATGTACTAAAATTAATTAGGAAATAGATCACTGGATATTGACATCCATTAAACGATTAGATTGCTAAATACGTTAATACATCTAGCTCGTTAATTTCTATTACTAGTAGCAGCATTACATCTTTAATCAAAGCAATCGTGAAAGCATTTTAAAACTGTTTTTATAAAACTTTTGTGAAAGAGTTTTAGTTTTTCAGGTCGAAATAATCTTCAACAAAAATTTATCCCACTTACGGTAAGTGCATGACATAATATCTAGGTTGTAGCTAAATATCTTTAAGGTGACCTACCAGTCACGATTGCTAAAAGGTGATATGTTAAACGCTAAGGTCATTTTGTTTTCTTGAGATAATGATCCGGAGAGACTTTTTTATTTTATGTGTGGATAGCTATTGGCAACTTCTATTCCCGTCGCTTCACATTCATATTTGCTCAATGGTAGTTTTTAGGAAACTTACTTTGAGGTTAAACGAAAGAAATTAGCAATAAACTTGCGCAATTTATACCCAAGTTTATAAATCGTACCATTTTGACTAGTATTTGTGCGATGACAGAAGCTGCGCTTAGTGTGTCCTTGTCACCGCTGCTGCCAAGCTCCGTAGAGGATGAGACACCGCCAGGAGGATTTGCCAGCAACGAGGCAAAGCGCGTTCGATTTCAGCCCGTATTCCAACCCACACACGCGGTATTTACCCCCAAACTGAGCGAGACCAGTTCACTTCGATACCGGAAGCCAAATGATCGCGTAGTAGGTAGAACAAGTTTGGCTCCACCCACATCTGTCTCGTCAATTGCACAACCAAATTGTGATGACTTCTTGCGACGTGTGAGCGTAGTGCTATATCAGCACATTCGACGCTGCGAAAAGCGACATCGAGAGCAGTCACGTTGTAGTGGAAGCAATAATTTAGCTTCTCTTGCCACTGCTTCTTCCACGGTGGTGTCAGCTCTCAGCACGTCAGATGAAAGAGATATGAGCGAGTGTCGATCTCCAACCTTGACGGAAGAAACAACACGTTTCATTGAAGGAAGTTTAGCCGTGTTTCAAGTTGTAGATCGAGACGAAGGCAGCATTTCAAATCCGAGTACTGTTTCATCCCCAAGACTCGTGGATTTGCCAGTTGAGGAAACGTTTCGAGAGGAACATTTTGTGACGCCTCAGTACAAGTACACGTTTATCAGGTTGCCAAGAATTCACCCGTTAACCATGTACCGGATGGAAAAAATTAATTCGAAACGACATGTTCCTAGTGTAGACGAAATTTTCCGCTTCTGCAAGAATTTGTTCAATAAGGCACAGCTGAGTGCAGAGTGCACTATTGTGTGCTTGATTTACATCGAGAGACTAATGGAACAGGCCAGTGTGCCACTATTAGCAGCCACATGGAGACCCATCGTCGTATGTGGTTTGTTGTTAGCATCGAAAGTGTGGCAAGACTTAAGCTCCTGGAACGTCGAAATCAGCAACATTTATCCTCAATTCTCGCTGCACTCGATTAACCGTCTTGAACGGCTCTTTCTGCACCATATTCAGTGGGATCTCTACATTTCAGCTTCGGTGTATGCAAAGTACTATTTTGCGCTGCGCTCATTAACAGAGAAGAAAGACTTTCGACGTCGGTACAATTATACAATGCGTGTGGATCCACCTAACTCGAAGCGGCTGGAAGAACGAAGTGCAGCCATTAAACATGAATTGTACTCGAAGAGTCTTTGATATCAATTGCGAGTGATGTGATCTTGTTTGCGTTTGTTAGCCCAGAAATAGGATATTTAACGTTCAAGAAAATAGGGTTGTATCAGCTCAAGTCGCTGAGGTGGCGTTTTCAGGTTCTTGAATAACGTCAGAATTATCTCCAATATCCTGATGAATGTATCGCTGTCATAGAATAAAGAGAGAATACAAAAAATGCCTCAACTTTTGCCATATATAAAAAAAAAATCCCAACTTTTCAGAAAATAAAAAAAATACCCCAGCACGTAACTTATCACCAGGGAGAG